GTTCTCGTGGCTGCCTCGCCCGATCCGGTATAAGTTCGTGAACAATGCCGTCGTCGGCTCAATCCCAAGCTCATCGCATCGGATGAGGAACCCGACGATGAGGGAATAGCTGTTCGGAGTAAGCAAAGCGGGTGGAAGATCTATCATGTTGAGATACTCCACAACGAAGGGATGAAGGGGGAACCTCAAACCCTGGGAGAAGCTCATCGGATACACTCCGAAGTAACCGGGAGGTGGATCCAGAACATGGTCCGTCGGCCTCGGCGCCCTAACCCTTCCATAAGGCCCGACGTAGAGCTGAGCCACCTGATATTCACCTTGGGAACCCTCCGGCCTTATGATATAAAGGTTCGTCAAATCCAGTTGCGAGATGCTACCAGACAACCCCTTCCGACGACGCGAGTTACGCTTCTTGGGGTTAGAGGAAGACGAGGCGGCACCAGGGACCGAAGTGAGTGGGGGAGGACAAGGAATAGCGGCCGAGGATGCATCACCCGCATCGTCGCCACGGAACTTGGGGTCGGAGGTCGCTTCGTCCTCACCAGAGGGTTGAGATCCCGCATCATCCACCAGACGCTCCTCGTCCGCAGAGGTACGATAGTCTGCTGTATTCTCCATCTCAAACTCAAAGGCTGCCACAATGTCTAAGTCCACCTTTGGAGACGCGTCGTCCTCGTCAAAAGGCCAATCAGACTCGTCCAATGAAGCTGTCAAGTCAATAGGGGAGGGGACGCTACGGCCGTCAGGGAACGGCATAACAACTATCGCTACGTCCTAGGGGTGGTTTTCGGATCAAAGTGACTTTCCTAAAGAACACTAGATCTAACACCCTAAGGAGCAAAATATGGAGAAATCAAAGGAAAATTAAAATATCTAACCTTAGAAGATTTGAAGAATGCGGAGAACACTTGAAGATTTCTGGGAAGCACCTTATCTCTCTAGAAATCTCAGCAACACTTCAACTCTAGCAAAAGCAAATGAGGAAGGGGCTTCGGAATGAGGGGGTATTTATAAACATCCTCCAACGGTCACTACACGTGGCACCCACGCATTGGCCACGACAACGGCCACCTTTCCCCCAACCAATCAGGGGGCAACAATTCAAAAATCACTCAAACAGGCATCCCTACGGCCCAACTCAACCTTACAAAGAACAAGGCATCGACCGAATACCGCTACGGCCCAATTACCACAAAGCTCCAGAACAGGCATCGGCACATTCTCCCGAATAAGGAACGCATCGGCCTAAACTCGACGTTCTCACAACAACCCAAGGAACCTTAAATAGACCGCTACGGCCGCCTTGTGCGCACATCGTCGATGATAACCCCGGCATTGCGGCCTTCGTCCAAGGGTTCTCCCACAGGGTTACCTTGGACAGGTTCGCCTAAGGGTTGGAGTCACGACTAACGCATAGGTACCGGATCGGCTCATTACTCCCTTGTGCCTCAGATGCTCTTCGGCCAAAGGAGTGGGGGACTGGGGGACTGCATCGGCCACAAGAAAGGAAACGCAGCGGCCTTAATGTAAAAGGATGCGCTACGGCTCACCTCAACAAAAGACAGACAATTCACCTCAGATAAACATTAAGAGTCGCATCATTCACCGCAGAGCCCAAAATCAAAAACTCACCATGCGAGGTCTAACACGCTTCGGCTGCATAACAAAATCAAAGGTGCGCATCGCATCGTCTACATAAATGGAATCAACCATCTCCATCTCATGAAAATATGTCACCGCTACGGCCAAAAGAATGGATGGGAGCTCTTCGGCCCCAACAAGATGACGACGAAAGCACGCCAACTTGTCCACACCAAAACTCATCACATCTACAGAAAAGAAAGCGCATCGCCTCGTCTTCGGAGGCACTCCCACAGAGTATGCATCGGCCCGCATCAAGGCTGTGAGTTCCCAAGCGCGCTTCATCTACCTCAAATAAGGGAACCGCTTCATCCAAAATCAAAGCAGGGACTCTTCGGCCATCAAACGCCTTAGACTCACGCAACGGCCAACCAGAAAGGAACAAGTACTCCCTTTCGCTTCGGCTTCACCTCAGCTCAGAGAGTGGGGGACTCCTGATAGAGTATATGGGCCTGGACTAGGGCTGTGCGGAAACCAGGTCAAACCGGCAAACCGGACCGGAACCGGACCGGTTAAACCGGATCCGGACCGGACCGGTATGTAATCCGGTCCGGTTTTCGGTTTAAGAATTTCGTAAAACCGGTTACCGGTCCGGGTCCGGTTAAAAACAGGATGCAATCCGGTTTAACCGGAAAAAAAACCGGTATGTAGTATATTCGTATTTTATATCCTAAATTCTTAATTCCTATTTCGTAATACTCAGCGAGTCAGCGGCTAGCACTCCAGCATCCCAGATTCCTAGTAGCGCATAACCTAATCCCTAAATCGAGACTCGAGTCGGCTAATTCCAAAGAGCCAAACCTTGGCCCGTTCATCTTCTCCGATCGAGCAGCCGGCCTGGGCGACGGCGTACCACCGGACCACCGTCGGGTCCTCTCACCCCCATTCACAGAATCTGCTGCGGTGGTAACTGGTAAGCAGCCAAGAGAACGGCGGCCAGTGATTTTCAGTCACGGCTCATAGGTGATAGGCCAGAGCAACTCCAGAATTCATACAATCATTCTCTAGCTTCAAGGTAACTCCGATTCTCAGAAATTTCAGAATGAAAAATATTTGTGAATACTTTGTTAAATAGTGGTGTAGATGTATGAATGTATCCAATACGAGTGTACAATCTTGTTCTAGTGAAGAAAAAAGAGAACACTTTTTAGTTAGTTGATACTGAGAGCATGATTAACTGATTTCATCCTCAATGTTATGGACAAGGATAAATTTAAAGAGATTTTAATCTTGTCATTGGGAATTACAAAATTCCATTCGTTATGTTTCTATAGTTAGATTTTTACTATTCATAGTACCCTGTAATTCTATGCACATACGTTTGATTCAAAACAAGTAAACAACAAAAGTTGAGAAATAAAATGGAAATATTATAATAGATGTGATTGTACTATACTGGTGAGTGGTGAGGATTATAATAGATTGTTATCTATGTAGACATGTTATAATAGATGTGATTGATTTTCTATGTTTTACGTACTTGCAATCTTTGTAGACATGTTTTTAGGTTTTGGCAGCAATTATTCTCTTAATTCTCAGTATTTTTATGCTTCAGTTGCCCTTTTTGATTTGTCAAATTGCAATTATCAAATTCCATGGACAATCAACTTTATGACAATGTAAGTTACTAGTTTTTTACTTACAGAAAACACACATAAGTTACTTAAATGAGTACTAATTGATGTATTTTATAATAGATGTCAAGCAGTTCGATTCCCACTTCCGGTGCTCGTGGCAAAAAGCGATGCATAATTTCTGAAGAAACAGTAACAAGTTATGTTCCTGTACCTGAAGAAAATAATGATGAAGTTGGTCCTCAGCACGTGGATGCGTATGTGCAAAAACAGCCAAAAGAGGGTCGCAACTATGTGAAAAGAAAATCAAGAAAGAAGAAAGGTGAGTATTGGAAATGCTTCTGGGAGTATCTAGATGAAGATAACAACTTAAGAGCAGAATGCATCTATTGCGACAGCACATTTGCCGCAGATACTAATGTCAATGGAACAACAAATTTGAAAAATCATGCAGCGAATTGCAAAAACAGCCCAGCTAATAGAAACAAAGGAGGTAAGCAAGCTCACTTGATTGATAATTATGTTGTTCCTAATGGCAGTGAGGGTAATGTTTTGGGTTTTAAGGAGGGTGTTAATCTAGAGGAAGTTAGGAAAGCATTAGATCATATGCTTATTATTGATGAGCTGCCATTCAGATTTGTTGAAAAACCTGGGTTTAGACATTTTGTGAACATTGCATGTCCACTTTTTCATATACCCTCTCGCACAACTGTTGCACGTGATTGTTACAAGATATATCTTGAGGAAAAGTTGAGGTTGAGGGATTTTTTTAGCAAATCGTGCCAGAGAGTTTGTGTCACTACTGACACTTGGACATCAAATCAAAGAATAAATTATATGTGTCTTACTGCCCACTTTATTGATGACAATTGGAGATTGAATAAAAGAATCTTGAATTTTTGTCCGATTTCTAGTCACAAGGGTGAGGCAATTGGGAGGGGTGTGGAAGATTGTTTGAATGCTTGGGGTTTAGCTGATAAGTTGTTTACCGTGACGGTTGATAATGCTAGTTCAAATGATGTTGCATGTTTGTATTTGAAAAATATGGTGATGAAAACTGGCGCCATTAGCGATGGTAACTTTTTGCATGTGAGATGCATTGCACATATCATTAATCTCATAGTGTGGGACGGGTTGAAGGAATATGTTCAATGTGTTGATAAGTTTAGGGCTGTTGTGAGATACATTAAAAACTCTCCCAATAGATTGATGGTTTTTGACCAACAAGTGGAGAAGTACAAGATTGATTGTAAGTTATCCTTGTCTCTTGATTGTCCTACGCGGTGGAACTCCACATATGATATGTTGCACACAGTTTTGCAATATAAGGCTGTTCTTGTGAGGGTTGATCTACCTAGAGAATTGGAAGATAGGGAAACTTTAGGCCCCCTGACGCAAGAAGATTGGACGACTCTAGAGTATCTTGTGGTTTTTCTGAGAGAGTTTTATGATTTGACAAAAAATGTGTCCGGCTCTTTGTATGTCACGAGTAATACACTTTTCTTCCATATTTGTCATACACTTAATTTGTTGAAGAAATGTCTTGTTGATAAAGTTGATGGTTTACGAAATATGGCTTTGAAGATGAAGTTAAAGTATGACAAATATTGGGGAAACATTGAAAAAATGAACAAGTTGATTTACATGGGTACTATTCTTGATCCCAACTTTAAGTTGATGGGTGTAAAGATTGGGCTTTTGGATACCTATCCTGAGAAGGAAGCAACAACTCTATATGAAAACGTAAAGAAGTTTGCTTATGAATTGTTTGAAGAGTATAGGAAAGTTTATGCTCCTCCCGTTGTTATTGATGAGAGTGGGATTAGTAATGAGTCGAGATCATCTTCTTCAACGGTTGGTTCTACTATGTTGATGAATCTTGTTAAAGATCGGGTTAAGCAGATGAGTGGATCCCAACATAACTCAAGGAGTGAGTTTGATCGTTATTTAGATGAGGAAAGGGGAGATGATGAGGAAAAAGATGTTTTGACATGGTGGAAAATCCATAGTCCGAGGTTCCCGGTGGTTGCGCGTATGGCTCGAGACATATTAGCTATCCCAGTATCTACTGTAGCATCTGAGTCGGCATTTAGCACCGGAGGTCGTACTCTTGACCAATTTCGAAGTTCTTTGACCCCTAAGGTAAAAGATTCTAAATTACTCTCATTACATTACATTAATAATATCTTTGTTTTTGATAACAAGTGTCTTTTTTGTTTTGATTTATATTATATTAATTCTTTATGAAAAGATGGTACAAGCTCTTATTTGTGGCCAAGATTGGATTCGAGCGAATTGGCGAAAGACAAAAGTTGACGTTGAAGAAAATATATTGGAATTGCACCGGCTTGAAAAGGGTATTTCGAGTATTTGATTAGTTAAAATTCAAAAAGAAGTGCTGATTTATTTTAGCTTGAGATCAAATAGTAAACCATTGAAGTGCTGAATTACTGGATTCTAATATCATTAGTATTTGATATTAGTAATGTTTACTTTTTATCATGCGGTAAACCAGTGAACTGGCTGAATTACTAGTTTACTACTATTTTTTCAGTAGTATTTGTGCTAAATTACTACTTTGAAATTCAAATTGAAGTGTTTTGTCCAGTACTTCATCTCAGGCTTTCAGCTTCAAAATATGAAATTTAACTACTTCAAACATTCTATTGCATCTTTTTTAGAGTTTTTTTATATCAAAATGGTAATAGTTGTGCTAAATTGCTAATAAAAATTTTGTGTGATTATGTAGATGTGGAAGACACAAATTGCTTTACGGAGGAAGTTGTTTATGTTACTTGAAGATGAAGATGGGACTATTTTATTGTGAACTGTTTTACTTGAAGATGAAGTGGCTTTACAGAGAGCTTTTTATGCGAACTGTTTGACTATTTATGTTGAATTGTTTTTGTTGTTGAATATTGATCATTTAGAACAATTATTGTTGTTTTGTTTGTCATTTGGGACTCTAGAATGCTCATGAAAAACACTTGGTCAATGCTATTTAAGACCGTTTTTTTGCGGATTCCAAGTTTTCAACTAGTTGGCAGAATGGCAGTAGCAAAATTGCATGATGTTCATATATAGCCGGTTTTCCGGACCGGGTCCGGTTTTTATCCGGATTGTACTGGTCCGGTTCCGGGTAAAACCGGATATATTCCGGACCGGTTATCGGTTCCCTATTTTATCACGAACCGGTTCCGGTTCCGGTCCGGTTCCGGACCGGTCCGGTCCGGTTTTGACCCGGTGCACAGCCCTAGCCTGGACCCCATAGCCCACATACTCAATGGCCCAGAAGACACCAGCGGGGCACCCGCATCGGCCAGAGGCACGTACCGTCCAAGAAAGAAGATATCGCCTGAGTTATTTGGATGGCATCGTCCATGGACCGCATCGTCCATGGACCGCATCGTCCATGGACCGCGTCGTCCATGGACCGCATCGTCCGAACTTCGCCCGGACAGAATGTGTTTTCCTATTTTATGTACTAAGTGTTGTACTCAGCCCATTAGTGGCCTTATTTCGCCCAAAGAGGGCATGATTATTGTAATGGGCCTCCTAAGCCCAAGGCTAGGGGCCCAGATCCACATTGTTACCTATAAATAGACCCCTAGGGGCTAATTATAGGGGATTCTTTTCCAGATTGAGAAATATAATTACTCACTTTCTCTCTCTAGCTCTCTCTTCTCTCTAGAATTAATACTCTATCATGAATACATCAATTAGTACATATGATTTGATTTATTACTTACACTTAAATGTTTCTGTGGAACTGGTGCAGTGGAGTTCATTGTATCTGCATATACTTCCTGCGAAGGCATAGACTTAAATGTGGTAGAGTGAAAACCTCTCTGAATAAATGCGTTTTCTACATCTTTCATCCACTCATCCGTTCCTCAAATCAGCATCACTTAAACCTCCAACCTTGCATGAATTCCTTGACTCCTGGTCAAACACCTGTTTATAGTCCACACCACCTCCAACACCTCGTACACGCCCAGGATAACCGGGTTTTTCTAAAACCTCAGAAAGAATATCATGCCGCCCATGTGTCTTCCATGCCCCTGCAGAAATTTCTTCTTGAACTTTATCCTATTAAACATAAAAAAATATATAAATTTTATACAACATTTTTATATGGAACAAATGAAAAATAATACGCTTAGCACACTTACTAGTTTTTCTTTCTTCTTTATCATGGCTTCGGTATTACTCGGGAAAACTAATTGCCCTTCTTTTGTCAGTTCAGATCTAGCACAAAACCAGCCCACATGTCTGGGGATGTCGTCGGTAGATGTACTCGACGTTGTGGAATCAATTTCAGAAGTAGGGAGAAACTTATCTAGCGATTCTTGTTCTTTCCATTTCGGTATTGATAGAGCATATCCTGATCAATTCATATTGTCATGCCCCGGACCGCATCCGTGTCACGTAGACAACCGCCGTACAACCCAATAAGAACAACGTAGTTTATTCTTACTAAATCATACAAGGCGTCCGATAGATTCTATTGCCAAACCGATTAGTAAACACATACAATCAACATCAATATCTTAATCAAACAAATGCGGAAATAGTATGTTTGATACTTAGCCACACGTGGCAAATACAGGCACGCAGGCCCCCAAATGTTTTAATAGAAAACATTGTTAAAAAAAATATCCATGAGCAGTTTATCAACTTTGAATAAGAATGGAAGCACGAACCATGTCTTCCTCCTTGATCAATCACCCTAGACAAAGGTGCAGGTAGTAGGACTTTAGCCTTAACCTGAAAAAAATGTGAGGGCCCCCGAAGGGGTCAGTACTCCATAGAAGTACTAGTGACAAGCAGGCTATATCAGGAATAACTAATGTTTCAGACACGAGACCCAAAAATAGGGTGATAAATATAAGTATAGGTATAACCATTGTTACCCCCACCCACAAGATGATACTTACTGTATATACTTGTAAATACTTGACCCGTAGGTCATTTCCATTTAAAAAGAGTCTTTTAGGGATAAGGTGATTACCCAACCTTTCCTATTCATTCCCGAATGCCTAGCTCACAAGCTACATTCTACCTTCACAATATCCTACCGAGTTCCAGGAGTGTTTACCCTCCCGGGGATACTCAACCCCAACCGAGTTTTAGGATCATTTACCCTCCCGAGGATACTCGACCTCAACCGAGTTTTAGGATCGTTTACCGTCCTGAGGATACTCAACCTCAGCCGAGTTTTAGGATCGTTTACCGTCCTGAGGATACTCAACCTCAGCCGAGTTTTAGGATCATTTACTGTCCTGAGGATACTTAACATCAACCTTATTCCTTACCAACCCTAACCTGGATATGGCTAACCTTGTATTCACTTAACTATGGATAATACTTAGTCCTATAGTCATATAATAATCCCTAGTAACCAACGTGGGCGGGTCCCACTTGAACGGCTCACGTTAACCTGCTCAAAACTGTCTGTTTTGAACATAACCCAATACCCGGTCGAGTATCCAACCTTACCCGGTCGGGTAGGGCGGGGCAGTAGCCCCTGGATGCCAATTCTACTTGAGACCCGGTCGGGTCTAGTGTGGCAGTAGCTTCTGGAGCCATTTGTAATCAATACCTGGTCGGGTATTTACCCATACCCGGTCGGGTATCACCTTTGTCTCGGCGGTCAACGTCCGTTTGACCGCCCAAACGAAGTCCGATTAACGTGAAATTTTATACACATGTACTTCATGTCGTCCTTGATTCAAAAATACCATTTTGGATCTCTGGAACATCGTACATAATAAGTTATCACATTTTAATCATCAACATACATCACATGCTTTCCAACTATGTTTTATATATAATCATGGCATAAGCAAATACTTGATTGTCTTTAATCATTCCATAAAACATATCCTTGATTACTTTAGGTAATCTCATGCCTCACTCAAAAGTTATAAAGCATATAGCCGTCTTCTCACCTTATTGAAGCTTATGAAGTTCTAGCCTTCCCGATTTAGCCCCGGTGAAACTCCGGCGAACTTCAACGAACTCCGGTCACCCTTTCAACTCCGTGAAAGTTCTTGAAATACCTTAAACAAGTTAATAACAAGGTTTTACCATCATGAAACCCATATCAACACGAATAACCTCTAAAAGGTTGTTTTCCGACGAACCCGTCAACTTTGGCCTCTAAGTCCGCTCTTGGACTTAGAACTACCTTTCAATCCCCATTCTACACCTTTAAGTGTGTAGAACTATACTAGGAGTAGAAAGTATGATTGAAGGGAAGAAATGAGGTTAATGGAGTCATTACCTTATTAACCACAAGTTTTTCCACCTAAACTCCTCTTTTCCTTTCTCTTTTTCCCTCTTTCTTCCTCCCTTGTTCTTGGTGCGTGTATGGCAGTGGAAACGGTCTTTTAGGCCCATAACTATTTCTTTATAGTATATTTGAGTAGGCTGAGTTTTAACCCAAAATTAATAATTTTGTACAAGTTCAGGAAGCCCAAGAACGCAAAAGGCCCAAAATTGAAAAAAAGGAAGAACTAACGCGCAGTCCAATTAGTTAAATTTATAAATTTAACTAATTGATTAGCTATATTAAGTATTGAGCATAATAATGTCTTAGAAAAGCTTGATTATGACGCTATAGTTGATGACACCGGCCTTAGCAAGTGTATTGTATCGGGGCGTTATTTATCATTAAATAATTTTTTATTCGGTTATTTTGAAAACATTATTCGACTGTTTAATTTAACGAATTCAAGTATTTTCTTTATTCTAAAGGTATTTAAATATTATTATTTTGCATTTTTATTTAGGTAGAAAAGTGTTTTACAATTTTTTTTAAAATTAGGCCCATTTTTTTTATTGTTCGCCCCTAGGCCTTCGAATATCCAGGGCAGCCCCTGTTTGTCCCCCAATCAATTCCAACCATTTCACCAGCCAAAGGGTGCGGCTCCCCTTGCTATTTGCAAGACTAGAGTCGTGGGGTGGCCCCCACATATGTGGGAGGTCATCCCTTTGTGTCCCCAAGTGTACACTCGGTCCCGAAAGTTGTATTTTCCAAACTGTTTTAACTGTATTTTGTTTTATCGGGTAAAATGAAATATCTCTCATTCTTCCAATTATTATTATCTATAAGAATGAATGTATATTTCCAAACTTTAATTTGGTGGTCTCCATAATTTATTATGGCTTTTTATCTGATATTATTTCGGTACCGATAAATGGGCTTTATATGCCCAAACGGTTACTCACATAATTCCTATGGCCCGGCAAGGATACCCACCATTATACACATATTATCTTGACCCAAACGAATATGATATGTGGTCACGATAATATCAGGCGGCCCGCACTTCCGGTGTGGGCCCCACGCGAATTCTACCATTCACGTAAAAGAAATGATAAAAATTTACGATTACGTAAAATGCGTTTATTCATCTCTCAGGGTTCAATACATAATTTGGTAAAGTACAAATACTTGGGGCGGTGTTACACATATTGTGAGGGTAAATGTTCTGTTGGGCAGCTTGCTTGTTTTTTTCGCTTAATGCCTATTCAAAATTTTATGAATCATAGAATGTGAATCATAAAAGGTAGTCAAATACAATAAAATAGGTGTCAATTATACCACAAATTCTGGAGTCATCGCCCTAGCACAGAACTCTTCCCAAGCATCTTTCGTCACAATGCCTTCGTACTTCTCATATGTTTCACCGTTGTCATGTCCAACTAGTTGCGTCTTACTTAGAAAGTCCGTCCTCAATCGACACCTGAAATCTCGGTGAACCTTTCCCAACCATTTAAAAATGACGTTGTACATCTTGTCATCAACAACATATGCATCCAACATTTATGATTCAAAAAAATAAAATATTAAAATTAATAAGTTTGCTTAACAAATTGCATTTATTTAACATATGTACATGATTAAATATATTTACCTGAATCTCTTTCCACATTTGCAATTTTAAGTTGTTTGTAACTGTCTTCCAACCATCAACGTTAATATCCACGTGAGCACGTACTGTCTT